TGTCCGTGGTTCTTAACGCGAGACACGGTGGAACAGGCACACGCATTACCACACGCCGAGGTGCAGCTCCGGGACCCTCAGCAATCACTCAGGCCCGCCTCTCACTCGACAAGTGGGGAGACTGAGGCCAGAGAGGAGGAGCTCAGCCTGCAGGGACCTTAGAACACGCTGGTCCTACCAGCCCAGAGACAGCTGCCCGACTCCACTTTTGCACGGCCTGGCGAGGGCCGCAGCCAGCCTCCTGCATGGGTATGAGGACGTTCCCCGGACGAGCCCAGGGCACGGGGTACGGGGAGCACGGGGCACAGGGAGCCAGCACCCAGGGGCAGCTCCGGGTCAGGGGACGGCCCCTCCCTCTACCTGCTCCCCCCACGGCACCGCCAACCCAGCACACCCAGCGACGCCAGCAACGTCACAGCCAGTAACCTAGATTTTAACCAAGAAATCACACACCCCCTTTCTCTGTCCCACTTATGGGCTTGCCGAACAGAAAAACCACGACAAGAAACCCAGACTGTGGCATCCAGAGCCAAACTGTATGGTAGGTGGGCGGGAGCAGGCCTGGCCTCCCAGCCGCCCACTTTCCACCACGCTGGCGTCAGCGACACCCGTGCAAAGGCAGAGACTGCCTCGCAGCACCTGCGGCCTGGACAAGGCCCTGCAGGAACACGGCCTTGGGGGCATCCCCGCCCCTCAGCCCCAGCAGGACGCTGTACCTCGTCTGGTCTGAGTACGGGGGAGTTGGAGGGAGGGACTCGCCAGAGCGGCTGCCTCCTGTTCCCACCCAACACACATCCGGGACTCCACAGAGCCGCTTCCTGGCTGCTGTCCTGCCTGCTTCCCGAAAACCCGTCAAGGCAGGTGGGCTTGGGGGCTTCTAGCTCACGAAGTCCAGGTGATGTGACGGCTTAAGGCTGACCTAGCACCCAGGGGCAGATGCATAGGACAAGTCACAAGGCTTCACTGTGCTTCCAGCAAACCTGACACCCAGCCCTGCTTTCCATTACCCCAAACACACCGAGGCCCAAGGTCACACTGGAGCAGCAGGGGGCTGTGCAGGGAGGACCCTGGGAAGAGGTGTGGACACGTTGGGTCTATTTCCATCTCCATAGAGCAGCTTCCTGACCTGTCGGCAGGGCACTGTCTGGCTGCCATCATTAGGGGAAGTCCTCAGGGACTGCAGGGGTGCTCAGCCTGTCTGGGGTTCTGCCCTGGGACCAGAGCCCGTGGACAGAGCCCGTTCCCAACAGGGCCCCTGGGTGGGCCTTGGGAGCCTTCCCCAGCAGCCTCTGGCTGGTCCCCTGCCTTCCCCAGGGCCGCTGTCAGCAGGGGCAGCGGGAAAGTACACACGGGGCGGACTCCCCGGAGGCCTCAGCCAGTCGGGTCCACAAGCACTGACATCCTGTACGGCCTCTGTGGTAAGCCGGAGCCCAGTGTGCTCTGCCCTCGGGAAGGGCCAATTCAGCAGCGAGCACAACTCCTGGTCTCAGGAAAAATCAAGCCCTACCTGCTACCACTAAACAAAAACAAAAGCTGTGAAGCCCAGATCTAGATGGCCTGTGAGCTGGCATTCTGTAGGATTCATGCAAACACAGCAATATACATTTAAATAAAGTGCGGAGTTCTCAGGAAGATACCACGGAGCCCAGAGCACCTGCTGCCAAAGCAGTGGCTTCTCCTGCAGGCGGAGAGGGAGCCAGGTTGGCCAAAGCAGAGGCTACCTCGCTGTTCTGGCTGTGGTGGCACATGCTGCACAGGGACCCGGCTGACCTAGGGGTCCGAGCTGGTGGGTGGTCCTGGCCCCCTCTGCCCCCAACCAGCACTGCAGGAGGGGAAGGGCAGGGGGGGAGTCCCATCAGGGCACGAGGATATGTGTGGTGGGGTGGAGTCCCCATGCTGCCCCTCGGGGCCCACCAGCTGCCCGCTGCTGGCACTATGCGCCCCCACCCAGGCCCAGGCCACTGCACACAGGCCCTGCATGCAGACCAGCCAGGCGGCCAGCCCAGACACACAGTCAGGTTGCGGGGACGCCCGATTCTGGGCACCAACTGTGGGACTCTGCCCAGCAAAGCCTGAACGGTCTCCAGAGGCTGTAACCCAGGAATCTCAAATTAGGGCAACCTGGGTTTGTGGGCCCCAGGAAGGGGAGCAGCCCTTCTTGAAAGAAAGGAAGGGGGAGAAGGGAGGACGACCACTCACTTGGCTCAGCGCAGCGGGCACTTACTGGCCCGTCCCTGCTGTGGGACCTGGAGAAGTGGTGGCAAAGGGGCTGAGTTCAGGGGAGCCTCTGGACCTCCACGGGTGAGGTTAAAGGGGAAGTAGGCGGGTCCTCCCGGACACCTTGTGGCTCCAGGCCCTTCATAGATGGGGAATGTGAGTTCTCGGGCAGGTCCCTGGGCCACAGACGCCTGAGTTTCCTCATCTATCCAGTGGAGATAAGACCCTTCCTACAGGCTGGCAGTCTCCCAGGAGTTCCTGTCTCATCCAGGACCAAGTCTGAACTCCCTGGTGAACGGAGCTCTGCCACTTCCTCCAGACTTGGTGGGGGGCTCCCCTGTGGCCCCGCAAGCCTCCAGCCCAGGGGCCTCCTAAGCCGCCCAGGGGCCTCCTAAGCCGCCCCGGTCCCAGGCATGCCCTGCTTCCCAGCCAGGTGGTGTGGGGCTCCACCCCATCGCGTATTACCTGCATAGCTGCCAGAGGCCTTGATGTACATCTGGCCGTACTGTTCCTCCACCATCGTGTCGTAGGCCTCGTCGTCCTCCTCGTCCTCCTCATTGTGGTACGAGGTGGGGCTGTCGGTGGTGGGCAGGCTGCTGGCGCCCGGACTGGTCCGCTCCCCCTGGGGGTAGGGCATCTGCTGGATGCCGGGGATGAGGGTGGCCAGGCT